TTTTTTTTTTTTTTTTTTTTTTTTTTTTTAGCTGTTTCCAGCCTCAGTGTGAGCCACAATGTCAGGGGTCTCTGTCATGTCCCTCATGGCACCTGAGAATGGGGTGTGAGGAGAGTTTCTCCAGGTGTGGGCCCTTGGATCACCATGGGTTTCAAGATTACCACTCCCAGCTGCACTCAGTGTGGGTAAAGGTGCAGAGATGTCTGTTGTACCACACTCTGCCCCAGCCCCACAGAGAAAGCCTTGTCTATACTTAGAGTGGAAAGGAAGAAACGGATGGAGGCCTGGGGGCCCTCCCCTGCAGAGGCCATGCTTGCACACCTGGGCCGGCCTATGGCCTTTTCACTCTGTCACGTCTGCCAATCAGCTTGTCCATCAGGTGTTCCATGTGTCCTTGTATAGACACCTGCTTTCCCCCCAGTATGGATTCCAAGGAAATTATAATCTAAACGTCAAAAAATTCCAGGTATTTCTAAGTCAACAATAGCACATGGATCATAGATGAGAGTCAACACAACCATGTAGTACAATACAGGTGATACTAGAGAGTAACCGAGCACCCTGTGGGTTACAGTGGAAAAGGGGGAGATAGTCCCTGTCCATGGAGAATAACAAGCTTGACAGGGCGCACAGCCCAGGCCCGAGTGAATGGCACACATGTGTAAACCACTTACGTATAGACCAGACTATTATTGAGGATCTGAATAAGCATGGGTCATGTTAATACTTTTATTTAAATGGATATTTGCTCTCAGATAAGTTTATTTTTTGTTCTAACATCCTCTGAGTCCATGCCAGTTTGTAAAGCTGTTTCAATTTTGGCCAATATTTCCAGTATTCGAAATCAATGTCCATGATTCATATTACATTTAAGTAGTTCTTGACAGTCAGGAAAGCCAGGAATTACTGTCTCCATTTACAGATGAAGAATCTGAATCTCAAAGAGGTTAAGTGATTTGCCCAAGGTCACACTCCAGTAAGTGGCACAGCCAGGACTTGAGCCCAGACCTTCTGACTCCCAGCCTAGCGCACTTCCAGCACCCCGAACCCAGGGGTCCCTAGGAGCAGTGGTGCCATCTTCCACCAAGGTGACCTGCTTCTGTGGTTCCCTCTGTGGGGCCCATCTCCTCCTCCAGGCTGCTGTACCGCTCCATTGACTCACACACAGAAGACAAGGGCCCCATCTACAACTACCGCGTAGAGATCTCCATCTTCTTCATCATCTACATCATCATCATTGCCTTCTTCATGATGAACATCTTCGTGGGTTTCGTCATTGTCACCTTCCAGGAGCAGGGGGAGCAGGAGTACAAGAACTGTGAGCTGGACAAGAACCAGGTAGCTTTCTGGGGTGGGGGGGGTGCGGCGGGCAGGTGGAGAGCCACCAGGCTGCTAGAGGAACATAGCACCCAGCAGCCCAAGGCCAACCCAGAAAAGAGGTCACAGTCAGAGGAGGGACCTGCATGGTCACCAAGATTGCCTGTCCACTCCTCAGCAAGGACAGGGCTTTCAGTCTCTGTGAGGGGCCTATGTAAAAGCAAGGCAAATCCTCACAGACCCCAGATCAGGCAAATGTGCTTGGCCCACAGGTATTAAGCTTCTACTTAAAGCTACTCTCTGATAGACCCTGTGAAAAAAAATCTTGCACCCTACCTAGAAGTAGACAAGGTGAAAGTTCCACTCCTAAGTGGTTTCTTAAGTAAAACACAGAGGCCCGTGCAGGAGGGGGGCAGGAAGGCAGCTTAAGTGGGGGTGAGATGGTGATGCTGAAGCCTATAGCACGTTCCATGAACCACCCACTACAACAAGGGATGCTGGGGGTGGGACATGGCTGTGGTCAGTCCCCAGCTGGGTTCCCAGCAGGAAGAGTCCATGTGGAGACACACTCCTGACTGGGAATAAGGATTGCTTGTGCATGGGCGGCATGACACAGTGTGCCTGGCTCTACCGTGACCAGGCAGCCGAGGCCTCACGGGTTTCCATGTCTACACTGGAGGCTTAGACACATCATTCTGGCTGCCTTGTGGACTTTGGATCAAAAGCAAGACAGGAAAGGGGGAAGCCAATTAGGAAGTATAGGTGAGAGATGATACATCAGGTTAGTGATAGCAGAGGTAGAAAGAGTAGGAGTTAGAATTGGTAAGGCTTAGAGACTGGACATGGAGGCTGAGAGTGAGAGAAGAGGTTGAGTGACTCCCAGTTCCTGATTTGAGAACCTGGGCGCAGTGCAGAGAAATGAACCAGATCTTTGCAGAGTCCCAAGAATCTGGTTGGCCCAAGAGATCTTCCCTATTAACGAATGATGTTTTCTGATCTTGTGAACACTGGCAAATAAGGAAGATGGATTTAGTACCCCAAGGAGAGTGTGTGGCTTAGGAAATAATCAGTGAGAAGACTGTTAGTCAATCAGCAAGTATTTAGCAAATGCCAGCTTCCTGCCAAGAGTGTACCAGGCATTATCAGGCTGAAGAAGAGGACACACCTGCTTCTTGCCACGATCTAGAGAAGGAGATTTGACTGGAAGGGACTGCCTCTTTGATTAAGGGAATGATGGAAAATCAAAACATTTTCCAAATCTCGAATGTGTAAGTGAGCTAGAGCAAGAAATTGTTTTTCTGACCTCCAGAGAACCCTACCCCCATCTACATCCTACCGTTCTCTGCCGTCCCTACATCATCCAGGAAGCTAACCCCACTCTCCCCATTCCTATGCCCCTGCCTCCCTCCTAGCGACAGTGCGTGGAATACGCCCTCAAGGCCCGGCCCCTGCGGAGGTACATCCCCAAGAACCAGCACCAGTACAAGGTGTGGTACGTGGTCAACTCCACCTACTTTGAGTACCTGATGTTCGTCCTCATCCTGCTCAACACCATCTGCTTGGCCATGCAGGTCAGTCCAAGGGGGAGCCTGGTCCCATGATGCCTGCACAAGGGAGAGTGCTATGGTATAAAGTGCAAAGGAGCCGCATGACTGTCTCAGTCTGTCATTCTCCTGGTACCAAGAGAGGCAGGAAGCAGAAGGGCTATCCTCTTCTTCCAGTGGAAGGAGGACAAGTGTCCTTCTCAAGGGTGCAATCTGCCCTAGGGCCCTGGGTTGATAAAATGGAGAGTCAGGAAATAGAAACTGAGAGAGTCAGCTCCAAGTGCTCATTAGTCAGGACGGCATGGATTCTGCATCCACCCATCTTCAGGGAGCCCTCTTGAGTGCCAGAGGTCTCCATAAAGTCAGTGCAGCCAACCAAAGAAGGAACACAACACTCTACCATCCTCTGCTTCCAGAGATGGCAGGGAAGGGAAGAGCTGGTCAGCTCTCCTGAGTCCACCTGGGTGCCCACGGAGAGGTGGACGGCCTTCTGGGGGTTGGTGCCAGCAAGATCTCTGCTGAGATGAGAGCCTCCGAGAAGGCTGGACAAAGGGTTGGGGGAGTGGAGCTATCCCTGCCTAACTTTTAAGCTCCTCCCTTCCCCCACCCAGCACTACGGCCAGAGCTGCCTGTTCAAAATCGCCATGAACATCCTCAATATGCTCTTCACCGGCCTCTTCACCGTGGAGATGATCTTGAAGCTCATTGCCTTCAAACCCAAGGTAGGCCTCTGAGAAAGGGCCTCTGGTTCACCGGCATCAGAGGGTGGAGGAGAAGGGGTGGGGGAGCGCAGGGAGTGTAAGGAGGAGAGCGAGGGGAGAAGAGCTCCAACTCTTGCACCTGCCAGTGTCAAACCAGGCCAGCCTAGAAACAGGCCTGGTTCACGGTCCTGGCTGGGGCTGGGATGCACAGGAAGCAGACCCTCCCCGGCTGAGCCTCTCCTTCACGGGGAGGCAGATGATGATCCTTCTCCCCCCGTCCCCCAGCACATAATCTAGAAGAAACTGTCCCCACAGACTGGCAAACCAAACCTCTCAGGCCCAGCCCCCCAGATCCACTCAGGCCTCTCTCCTGCCATCAGCCACACAAATGAACCTCATGTAAAAACTTCAGCCGGGGCCGCATGTGCTCAGGGCTCAGGCTCCAGGTTCCAGCCTGTGGGAACCTCACATTCCCTGCCTCAGAGGCTCTGTCATTGCTCCATATACCCTACAGTGCTGCAGATTTCTCTGCATTGCTCCTGTAAGGGAGAGAAGATCAGGAACATTGGTGGATGAGACAGGGTGGGGAAGGTTACTGTCACTTTGGATTATCTGTGCCCTTCCTGACCAGCCACACCTCCCTTGTCCTGGACACTGGAGGAGCAGAACTGCGTCACCTTTTGGAGAGCAATGAGAAGACAGGGGTTCTAGGAGAATCGTGCAGTTACGGGCTTGAGAAGATCTCCCCAGCTTCATGAACCTTCTCTTCCCCTCCTTTACTAGTTTTCCCGGGTGCAACACAGATCACCAGGAGGCAAAAGGGAAGATCCCTGGACATATTCTATTTTGTTCAGATTTTTACTTATCCCAGGACTTATAGGGGTTGGGGGGCCCTCCTTAGCCATTGTTCATGGACAGGAAACCCATAGCAGTCTTATTAAGGTACTGCGTGCTGCATGTGCATCATGGCATGTAACCCTCAGACAACCCTGGAACAGAGGTGTTGGCATCCCCGCTGCGGGGAGGAGGGAGTGAGGCCCGAGCACTGAGTGCGGATGTGCATTGCCCCACTGTGAAGTAGCAGGGCTGGGACTGTCGGTGTGTTCTCTGCCGCAGTAAGCTGTCAGCAGGCATTCTTCCATGGCAAGTGCTCTGCTGGATACTTTTCAGAAAGAGGGAAATGATCTTTGAGGGACTAAAAAAGTAAGACAGATAATATTCTTACAATGCTGATCCTTCTTCTCAAAGGATGCCTAGGGATCTTGGCTAATTTTCAGAGAATTAAGACTCCTGATGAACGTCATTTGGTCATCATAATGGTGTTTTCCTACCTCCTTCAGAAAAAAAAATATATCCTTTTTCACTGTCTATTCTAAGTCCAGTCCCATGTAGGTGCACAAATTTCATCCTTTCCTAAAGAGACCTCCTGAGTTGCCCTGGCCCACTCCCTCTGCCCGTGCCTAGTCCTATTCTAAGCCCCCTGGCCTGGGAGCACTGACAGGCCCACCACCCATAACAGCACAACCAGGAGAGGCCAGGAATGTAGGAGCACTGCCAAGCTTAGCTTCCATCTCAGATGGCACCCTTCAGGAGGGAAATGGGCATCATTTTCATCTGGTGTCATGAGACATATGGCTTAAATATTTCAGAGCCTTGAGTCATTCCACAGTTGACCCAGACGTGTTTCTGATGATGCCTCAGGGTATCTGCAGAGCCTGCAGTGGACTTTCTGAATCATGTCTCATGAGCACAGGAGAGGTGTTGGACAACCTTCCCTAAAAAGCACATGAAATTGACACCTGCAGGAGCCCCAGCCTGAAAGACACTCTACCTAAATCCTGCAAATCAAGGAACAAGCCAGTTTCCTGGGAAGTAACCAGCTGGGCTGGACTCAACCATAAAAAGTGTCTCCTACTTTCCTCAATCCATGGCTTTCTATTATGAGAATACGGAGCAAAGTAAGAGATTCTTTCCCCAAAGAAGGAAGAGAGCCATCCTGGGGCCATTTGTATTCAGTTGATTAGGAGTATAAAAGGAAAGGAAAATGGATCTTTTCTATGAATTCCCCCAAAGGGACTTCTGGTAATAGAGGGGTATGGGCCACTGGATCTGGCTGGCCAGGGAAGGCTGGAGCCTCCCTACACTTTGTTCCTCATTAAGGAATGGACTCCAGGAAAAACACCCCCAGATTTTAGACAGAAAACCAAACCAGAAACCTCTTGAAGCTCTGATAGAAATATCCAGCTGAATCTGGCCCAAGAATCATGGCTCTTCAGTGACCTGAAATGCATATGGCTTTCCTACCTCACCATTGACCAGGATCCTGCCACACTTTTCATTCACTGGCATGGTTCATATGTGCCACGAATGAGTTTGCCCTTCCAAGCATGAGCTATATGAGTGCAGCTGGGCAGCGAGCGTGTGGAAGATCAGTGCTTACCGCAGTCAGGGAGAGGCCATCTGAAGCTGTCACGGCTTGAATTTTTCTCTCTGTCCCCTTAGTCTGCAGTGGGTCAGCTTGTACTCTGGCTTCATTCTTTCATTGTTTCCCCAGTGATTGACGGTCCCAGTTTCTTCATTTCTATCTGTTCTCCTCACCATCTGTGGACAATGAATTTACTCAAATAAATCCCTGCGCCAAATCCAACTGCCCCACTCCTTAGATTCACACTCTGTTCACAAAAAAGTTAACAAAAAAACAGAAGTGAATTTAAACCAGTTTAGATTAATTCAGCCCCCTGCAAAATCTCAGGTGTCTTGTGGAGAAGGTCTGAAGAGAGTGGGATAGATAATAGTGTATTGATTTGGATGCCTAATAGCAAGCCAGAGGAGCTTCCTTCTCTAGAAGTAGGAGATAACTACATGGGACTAATGGGGTGGTGCTGGGCCCTACGTGATTGTGCAGGACCAGGTTGGTCAGCATGAAAAGTTTTGGCTGGATGGTCTGAAGGTAACTCAATAGCTGGATTGTTCTGCTATCATGAACTGAAACTTAGCAGCAAAGACAGGGTAAAAATTTTAAGATACCCTCATGACAAGCACTGAGAAATATCCAATGCCTAGGAATAAATCTAACAAAAAATGACCAAGATCTCTGCAGAGAAAACTACAAAACTTTATAGAGAAAAATTGAAGAAAAGCCAAGAGCAAGGGACAGCTAGTAAGGACGCTGAGCTGAAGCAGGGCAAGCGTCTCCTCCTCAGCAGCAGGGGAGTCAAGAGTCCCCCCAGCATGAGGTTCCTGGCTCCTGCCCTCCCCACGGTCTCCACGTGGGTCATGGAGGGCTAGAAAAGCAGGACTGCTGCTCTGAGGTTGACCTCCTCCCTCCCCCCCCCCAGGGCTTTTTCACTGGGCGGCTGCCCACTTGTGCGGAGAGGCCATCCTCCCTGCTTCTTCAGGTTTCCCCAAGGGGAGGACACTGGCAACCCTCCGTGATCAAAGCCTTGGCCTCCCTCTCTACTTTCTCCCAGCCTGCCAAGAGTCCGGAGAGGAGAATGGAACCAAAGGGAAAACACAGCCCGGCCCCAGCTTTCTTGAAGAAGAACAGCTGGCGCTTTCGGGCTCACTTTCATGGTGCAAGACAAATTAGGCCCCAGAGGCATTTTAAACCTGAGAGATGAAGCAAAGCCTCTAGGCCAGCACTGCCTACTAGAACGTTCTGTGGTAACAAAAGTACTCCATGTATGCCATCTATCATATAGCCTCTAGCCTCCTGTGGCCACTGAGCACTTGAAGCGTGGCTCGTGCAGCTGAGGAATGCCGTTCTATTGTATTTATTTTCATTAACTTAGATTCACATTTACACAGCCCTTTTGGCCAGCAGCTCCCACGGCGGGCTGCACAGCTCCAGGCCCGCTTCCTTCCCATGTCTGTCTGGGATTCTTCAGCCCAGCTGCTCCGGCTTCACAGAGCCAGATGGTTTATCTCATCTTCCCTACCTTTTCTCTATCTGGTGATTTTCTGCCAGAAATTGGCTCACATGTAGCGGAACCCTTCTTGACAAGGTTAGGCAGTGTCTTGCCCTGGGATCCCCAGTGTGGGTTTCCTCCTGATTCTGTCGGTTCCACCATCGTCCCTGGATCTCCCTGTCCTTGGCAGCCACAAGTGCCATAGCCCTTTCCCTGCAGAATCTTCTCCACCCAGTTCCTGAACTGGTCCTAACAAAGGCAGAGAGCACTTTCAGAGCTCCATGCCTGCAGGTATGGTCTGGAATTAGTCTTGCTGCTGTAGGCCCAATATAGGTGTGTCCCTGGTGAGTCTTGGAACACCAGATACTCTTTTTCCCAGTTTGTTGGACTTGTGACTAGGTTTCCTAATTAGCATTTTAGTGCCCTAGTGACACTGAAGTCTGAGAGCCCGAATCCCCTATTTGGTTCTTATCTGACCCTTGCCCTGGATGCAGAACCTTGTCCTTGTACATCCCAGTGCTGGCCAGAGAACCCCTGCCTAATGGCCTGATGTCACTTCCATGGTTGGGCAGCTTTCCCACCATGCCATCTCCGTGCCCGGCCCTGCCTAGTCTCCTGGCCCTGGCCCATGGCCTCTGCTGCCAGGCCCAGCATGCCTGCAGCAACCATCAAAACTGTCTGGGCTATGGCTCCTTCTGCCTGCCCCTAAATGGAGGATTTGGCCAACATTTTCAGAATATCAGCTAATGGCGGGGCAGTAATTCAGCTGCCACCATATTTTCTGTGCTTTGGGTACTTTTTTGAAGCCCCCATTATCTTTCAGAAAACAGGGACTGAGGGCAGCGAAGCTGCGGCTGCTTCTCCAAGAGCAGACAGGCAGAGCATGTGAGGCTGGCAGCACCACGGATGCTCTCAAAGAGCCCAGCTCCTCCTGCCTCAGCGTGTCATCCTGAGGGGCCACCAATGGACCCCTCAGCGCTTGCCTTGGCCGGGAGCGAGGGATGAGTTATGACTAGCAGGTAGCCTGGCTAAATGAGATGCTAGCAGAATTGGAGCTACTCGGACCATGGAGCTCAAATGCTGTCTCTTTGTTGGGATCACTCAGCACAGGAC